GAGCCGAAATATAAGTTTTAAAAAGGAAATTATCCTTGACATATGTATTGCACATTTTATTCCTTCACATCATATGAGAAATTAATGGCATCCCTCCTGAGTGCACTTTAGATGTTTCTAAATTTGATAAACCTGAGGTATTGTCAATTATTAAATAGTATAACGAGTGCTACTAAACTACAAATATACACACATATACTTACATAGATATATATTTCCTTTATATTTACTATCAACTTTGTTTTTAAAAATTTGGTTTTAATAAGTGATAATACATCATTGTATTTTAAATTAAAAAAAAAGAAGAAACTTACAAGTGGAAAATCAGTAACATAGGCATCACACATTATTATCTCAGGTGGTCTGTAAACTATGCTTGTATAGATTATCATGACATTGGAAAACTCAGCTGCAAATCCTAATTGAATATGAACACCACACTGAAATTTAAGGCACATACTTTCTGGAAGTTCTGAAAAAGAACAGTAAGAACAACCTATAAAAATTATTTAAAGAATGCTTGTAAGTTTTCTGATAATAAACACAAAATACTTTTTATGGGACAGAATATGGTTAGAGCCTTTCTTTTAATTAAAACTATAATATAACCAACATCATATTGTTTAAACACACACACATTTTAAATTTATTTTTTAAATTATTTTATTTATTTATTTTTTTGAGACAAAGTCTCACTTTGTTGCTCCCAGTAGAGTGCCATGACATCATAGCTCACAGCAACCTCAGACTCCTGGGCTCAAGCAATTCTCTTGCCTCAGCCTTCCGAGTAGCTGGAACTATAGGCACCCACCACAATGCCTGGCTATTTTTAGAGGCAGGTATGCTATTGCTCATGCTGGTCTTGAACCTGTGAGCTCAAGGTTCAGACTGGCACTCCTCGGCCTCCCAGAGTGCACCAATTACACAGGCTTGAGCCACTGTGCCAAATGTGCACACACATTTTTTTAAAAAGGCCAAACCCCCCCTCAGTATTCTGTTGGCAAAACAAATCAAAATTTTAATTTACTATTTCTTACAGTTCTTATCTATTTGGATATATAATTTTAATAGTAGTAATCAAAAATACACACACAATTGTAGATGTATTTCACTGCTGCCCCAATCTTGAATATTTGGTAAAGCATAATGTCAGCAAAGGGCTATGCTATAGCTTCCTACCATTTTAACTTTTGAGTATCTATAATACTTCTGGGGTTTACTGCTTTTCTATCATGATCAGTATTTCTTACCTAAATATTTAATGCTTTAGGAATGTTGAATATAGCTATGTGGTGGTTCCTTACATATAGGAATAGCTGTTTTCAATTTACATGGAATATAAATATACTAGTTTCATCATAACATTTCCAAAATAGGATACTATCGATTTTTTATTTTTTTGAGATAAGAGTCTCACTATGTAGCCCTTGGTAGAGTGCTGTGGTGACACACCTGCAAATCACAGCTCACAGCAACCTCAAACTCTTGGGCTTAAGTGATTCTCTCACCTCAGCCTCCCAAGTAGCTGGGACTACAGGTGCCCAGCACAACACCCGGCTATTTTTTTTGTTGCAGTTGTCATAGTTGTTTTAGTTGACCCCGGCCTGGTTTGAACCCACCAGCCTTGGTGTATGTGACTAGTGCCCTACCCACCGAGCTATGGGTGCTGCCTGATACTATCAATTTTTAAAATGTCTATTTGATGGAATAAAAAAGATAAAAGTACATCATTAGTTTTAATTATTCCTTAATTATACTTTAAATTTACCATTTTCTAGATTTTTAAATTATTAATATATTTCCAACCATGTGGACTGTTGAACTTAGCATCATTTATTTATTGGGGGGGGGTCTTAATGTTTTTTTCTCTTACCATTTGGTATGAGCTCTTCATTATTAAAAAATTACCTACTTACTTAATTTGCTACAAATACTTTCTATCTGACCTTTTAAGTTTCATTTTATAAAGGTTTTATTCACTGTTGATCTGTACCACTATAATTTTGTTATTGCTGTTTTTCAAAATTTTTTTTAGGGAAAAGACAGTTAATTTCAATTACTTATTCAGTTATCTGGAATGCCAAGATAATATATTTATGTCATTTTACATTTCATTGTGCTTTAATGTTAATTTACCAAAATAATCTTAGAGAACAAAAATTATTATGAAATGAAGATATTTTTAGAAGCTCAACAAATATAATTATTTTCAAATATCCATAATAAGAGATCCACACAACAGATACTTGGGATGCACAGAAAATCCAAAATATTTATTTTAGTCAACAATTTAAATTTATTTTTTCACTAAATCACACAGAATTACCAATTGGCAACAAAGCAACAGAATTTTTACCTCCTCTTCTTTTCTCTTGATCACCCAATCTACCAATTCTGTGAGAGAATGGCCAGGAACATTCTGAGCCCAGAGCATTTGCTGAGCACCAGGCTCATCTCTACAAGTGTCCTGCTCCCATTCAATCTCTATGGCCTTCGAAAGTAGCTACAATTTATTATCTCCACTTTGTAGATGACATGTTTGTCAAGTGTTAGAGACTGGATTAGAATCCAGACCTGGCCAGTTTTGACAGCTGCATGCTTCAACATGATTCTAAGGACTGCATATTAAGCAAATGAAAAGTTAACCCATTTTCAAAATAGAAAAATGAAAAAATGATCATTTAAATTTTACCAATGGTGACGGGCTAAATAATTTAACATTTTCAAATAAATAAATCAGTGCAATACCCACAATTAAAACATTTGTTTAGCTCAGGATTTGCCTACCAGGTCAAAATACTTTCACTACAAAATCAGGAGAAAAGCTATTTATTTAGAAGAAAAACAACTTAATAATTTAACATAAGTACAGCCTAGAAAGATCTCATGAACAACAGACTTTATCATACCATGAGCCTTGGCCCACTGTAAATTCCGCACCAGAGATTCTGCAGAGTGTTCTGTTCCCTGTATTGGATCAGTAAGTGCTCTCTTCTCAGATAAACTACTTCGAATCTCTAGCGCCTGTTTGCCTTTGGTAAGGTGGCATTTCCCCATATCTAAAAGACAATAAGGTAAATATTATTTTTAACACCATCAATTCTTTTGTTATATTTTAAGTATTTAGGCTAAGATCTCTCTTATAAATCAGGTTATATTCTCTTATACTGTCACATTAGTGCCAACCATAAACCCACTGTGCCACTGAAGCCCTAGGTTATATTCTCAATAGCAATCATTCACTTAAATATTTCCTGAGCACTTCAGATATGCCTTGTATGTTTAGGTGCTGGGGACCTAGCAGTGAGCAAACACATAAAAATTTTGGACCAGTGGACTTTTAAAGGCTGATTTCTAACTTTTATCTTCTGTAATTCTACTTAAAAATCCCTATTATCCTAAGCCTTAAAATCCACAAATAGCTAAAAAGGATACTTCTTTACTAAAAGAGCACCCATGATAATTTACAGATCTATGAGAAAAGTAAAAATAACCAGTTGTATTTAGTTGGGTATCTTCTATCTATCTACTTTTGAGACAGAGTCTCACTTTGTCCCCCTGGGTAGAGTGCCATGGTGTCATAGCTCACAGAAACCTCAAATTCCTAGACTAAAGCGATCCTCTTGCCTCTGCCTCCTAAGTAGCTGGGACTACAGGTGCCTGCCACAACGCTTTTGGTCAGGCTAGTCTCAAACTCCTGAGCTCAAGCAATCCACCCATCTTGGCATCCCAGAGTGCTAGGATTACAGGCCCGGGAAAAATATAAACATTTAAAAACACTCATATTCCTAATAAAATAGTCATAATATATATAAAGTAAAAACTAATATAATTACAAGAAAAAATTGGTAAACTGGGAGGTTTCAACATCTCTCTTAATTATTGGTCAAAGAGAAAAAACATCAGCGGCTCGGCACCTGTGGCTCAAGCGGCTAAGGCGCCAGCCACATACACCTAAGGTGGCGGGTTCAAATCCCCAGCCCGGGCCTGCCAAACAACGATGGCTGCAACCAAAAAATGGCCAGGCGTTGTGGCGGGTGCCTGTGGTCCCAGCTACTTGGGAGGCGGAGGCAGGAGACTCGCTTGAGCCCAGGAGTTGGAGGTTGCTGTGAGCTGTGATGCCATGGCACTCTACCCAGGGGGATGGCTTGAGGCTTCGTCTCAAAAAAAAAAAAAAAAAAATCAGCAAAAATATACACCACCATGATTAATAAAAGTTAATAAAACTTAACCTAGTAGACATATATAGAGTTCCACATGCAACAGCTATAGAGAATATTCATTTTTTTCCTCAAGCACATAGGTGATATTTACAAAACTTCATCTTGAACTTGGATACAATAAAAACTTCCAAAAATTTCAAAGAATAGCAATAAGACAAGATAATCTGACCACAAAGCAGTTAAGGTAGAAAAAGGGCTAATGAAAATTCCTGCTATATTTGAAAATTAAGACTATACTATTACATAACTTAAAGGTTAAAGAAAAACATTAAAGTAGAAACTAAGAAAAATCTTAAACTTGTAGGGTATGAGGAAAATGATACTTTATGAGAAATGTAAAATAACTTAAATTGGAAAAGATATGTTGAAAGTGAATAAGCTATTATTTACCGTATGATATCAGAAAAATAACAGAATAAACATAAAGAAAGCAAGAAATGACATAACATAAACAGCAGAAGTTAAAGACAGAGAAAAACAATGAAAAACTAAAGGAAATTAGCAGAGCCAAAGGTTGATTCTTTGAAAAGAAGTATCAAAACTGACAAAATCTAGCAAGAATAAGAAAAAAGGTAGTCACAAGTACAAATGATGAAAAGCGGTACGCTGCTACAAGGTAAAGCAGAGATTAAAGAATACTGTTAGAGAATACTACAAGCAACTGAATTACAACCATTTTGAAAACCATTAAAATAGACTTAAAAAATAAAAAGGCTGTAAGTACAAGAAATACTCAAAATACTGAAGCAATAGTAAAAATCTTCCACCATGAAAATATCAATCCTAGATTGGTTTACAGGCAAGTTCTACCAAAATGTTCAAGAGATCACAATTTTACGTAAAATTTTCAGTAATAAGAGAGAATACTTCCATCAGAGTTGTCTAGAGAAACAGTTCCAAGAGCATGCCTGTGTGTACATACTATTTATATGTATAAATATATGTGCGTGTGCAAATACACTGAAGAGTTGGGGGGAAATTATTTTAAGGAATTGGTTCAGCAGCTGTGGAGGGGCAAGTCCAAAGTCTGCAGGGTAGACAGGCAGGCTAGGGGTGCAAGAGGAGCTTGGACCAAAAGGCAGCCTCTGGCCAGATTCCTTCTTTCTTGGGAGAAGTCGGTCTTTATTCTATGATAGCCTTCACCTAAGTGGATGAAACACACCCTCATTATGAAAAGTAATCTGCTTTACTGAAAATCCAACAATTTAAATGTTAATCTTACCCCAAAAATGTTGAATCAAAACCTATAAACATTTTGAATAATGCTGAACTAAATGTCTTGGCACTAAGGCCCAACCAAGTAGATATAAAATTAACCATCACAACCTCTAACTCACTCCACAAGGCTAGAATAACACACAGATTGATTTTGATACCAAAATCCAATCAATTATGAGAAAATAAAATTGCAGGCCCTTTCCCCATATAAATATAGATACAAAAATTTTAAACCTAAGGTTAGCAAGTTAAATCTAGCAGTGTATTAAAAATATAATATATCCCAATGAAAGTGATTTATCTCAGGCTCGGTGCCTATAGCTCAGCGGTTAGGGCACCAGTCATATACATGGAGGCAGGCAGGTTCGAACCTGGGCCCGGGCCTGCTAAACAACAACTGCAACAAAAAAACAGCTGGGTTTTGTGGCAGGCACCTGTAGTCCCAGCTACTTGGGGGGCTGACACAAGAGAACTGCTTAAGCCTAAGACTTTGAGGTTGCTGTGAGCTGTGACCCCACAGCACTCTTGTGAGAGTGACATAGTAAGACTCTGTCTCAAAAATATATAAATAAAGAAGTGATTTATCTCAAGTCATATTAATAACAGACTATCAATAAATTTAATTCACCATATTAGGAAATTAAAAGAAATATTCTATTCTTCATAGATGCAAAAAACCCCATTTAATCTTGTTTAACATCCATTCATAGTACATATCAGGTATGGAAGAGAACTTCCTCAACATGATAAAGAATATAAACAAAAAACCTTACAATATTATTCCAAATGTGAAAACATTTAGCAGCCTTCCCTTTAAAGTCAGAAATAAGACAGGACCAGGTCTTAGAGGTCTGAGCTATCACTGTGTCAAAAATATTTACAATATTTCTCTAAATCAGTAAGAAAAGCAAAAACAACATAAAAGAAAAAATGAACAAATGACATGAACATAATTTTCACATAAGAAAATATACATA